GAGTTTTTTGGTTTGATTCGTTTTGGTTTAGGGCTGGGAAGAACTCATTGTGGGATGTGAGCCTTCAGGAGAGCACCTTTTCTCACCCTGGTCAACTGTGGCTTCAGGGGGGCCTGCCACATCCAGCAGAGGATTGCTCACTGTTTCTACAGGTTTTACATAAAACTTCACTGGAAGGAAATGTGACCCTGATACTGCAAAGAAGCGAGAATTGGGTTCTGGCTTCTAAATCTCTTTACAGGAAGTTGTCCATGTATTGACCACTGATGACTTGACTTTGATAAACATTTTTTTTTTTTGGTGGTGGTGGTGGTGGTTAGAAGCACAGAATTGCAGATTTCATCTCTGGTAGGTCTCCTGACACTTTGATGCATGGTGGTGCTATCCCTGAATGGAGCTTAAATACTTCAGGGCTACTTTCTGACTGGGTGAAGGGGTGTATAAAATGACGACGTATGAGAGAGTATTAACAGAAAGGCACACTTTGATTTACTGATATTGGCTCTCTGCCTTCTTGTTGGATTGATATGCTGTCTAATATATCTGCAGTGGATTTTTTTAAACTGACTTGAACAAAATAAAAGGGCTTGTATAGCTGCTTGAAAGTGGCCCTTAAAAGCAGTAGTCTCTGTGTTGGATGTTTTCACAGTTCTTGGTTATGTTACATGTGAGAGTCAAATTATGACTTGCTTGTTGGGGGCAAGCAGCCATAAACATTATGGACTGCTTTGCAGCTTCTTCTCTGCATGGTTCTTCATCTCCTATTTTAGGTCATGGACATGTGGTACCTGGAGGAAGTAAGGGACAGGTACTTGTTTTTCCTGTGCTTATAATTATTTTTTATTGTGGCAAAAAGACACATAGCATGAAAATTACCATCCTAAGTGTACAGTGCAGTAGTGTTAAGTATATTTACATTGTTATACATTCAGTCTCCAGAACTTTTTGATTTTGCGAAACTAAAACCCTGTACCCATTAAACAACAATTTTCCATTTCCCTCTTCCCCCAACTGCTGACATGCACCATTCTTCTCTCTGTTTTTATGAATTAGACTACTCTAGATACCTCGTATAAGTGGGATGATACAGTATTTGTCCTTCTGTGACTGACTTATTTCACTTAGCACAATGTTCTCAAGACTCATCCATGTTGTGGCATGTGTCAGAATTCCCCTCCTTTTTAAGGCTGAATAATATTGCGTTGTTCTTTCAGACTAGGCTCCAGACTGAGGGATTGTAGATGACTTTTTCTGTGTAGAGATAGACTGAGGAGGAAGAGTTATTATTACTTCAGCCTTAAGAATTAGTTAAGTATTTCTAAAAATTGTGGTAAAATAGATATGGCATAAAATCGACTGTTTTGAACCATTTTAAAGAGTACAGCTCAGTCGAAAGTACATTCACATTGTCCTCCCACCACCACCACTGTCTGTTCGGAAACCTTTATCATCCCGAGCTGAGACTTTTGCCCATTAAACAAGTCCCCACCCCACTCTCCAGCCACTCTTCTGTTTTCTGTCTATGGCTTTGACTCTAGTTTCAGGTTCCTCATAGAAGAGTGATCATACCGTATCTCTTATTTTGCAACTGGCTTATTTCACATAGCCTAATATTTTCAAGGTTTAGTCTTGGGAATTTTGAGGACCACTTTACAGATGCAAAATTGATTTGTGGTTTCACTTTGGAGAACATGGGCTGTCTTACAAATAGCTGTTTCTAGAAAAGGAGTAAAAACAATGGTTCATACTTACATAGAATTGGGATGAGATGAGATTTCTGTTTTCATGGGCTTCCTTACAAGTATTAGTGTCTCTTCTATTTTCTTAAGTTTCTTGCTATAACATACTTTCAGAACCTTAGCTATTATGGGCTCTCTGTTTATAATTCTCAGCTGTTTTCATAGATGATCACTTAGGTAACATAGTATTTGTAGTTACCATTTTTATTCTTTGCTTTCCTCATTATTTTAATTATTTTCCATATATACACTTAATTTTGTATTATTCTAGTTACACACTTACCACGTGCATGTGTGCTAAGTTGCTTCAGTCGTTTCTAACTCTTTGAGACCCTATGGACTGTAGCCGCCAGGCTCCTCTGTCCATGGGATTCTCCGGGCCAGAATACTGGAGTGGGTTGCCATCTCCTCCTCTAGGGGAATTGTCCTGATCCAGGGATCGAACTGGTATCTCCTGTGTCTCCTGCATTGAAGGCAGATTCTTTATTGGCTGAGCCATCTGGGAAGTTACACACTTAGCATATTTAGACTTAAAGTAATTCTTGTGTTTAAAATTGTTATGTCTAGGACTTCTCTGGTGATCCAGTGGTTAATACTCTGTCCTTGCAACGCAGAGGGCGCAGGTTTGATGCCTGCTCAGGGAACTCAGATCATACAGGCTGTGTGATGTGACCTAAAAAAGAAAAAATTGTTATGTCTTTATTCTTTTTTTTCTTCTTGCCTATATCTCATCTACTTATACTTAATCCATTTCCCCAAAACTATCAGCAGAATAATTCTATATTATTTTTTCTTCTTGAGAATAATTTTTTATTGTTATATTTGGTGGAAAGTTTTGTTAAGATTCAGAGCAATGGGTTGAGAATCTTGGTTTGGAACACAAGGCACTTTGGATTTCTTCAGATATTGCAGATCCCCCCAAGTGATATGGATATGTACTGATTATAAAAGGATTAGAATGTGGAATTTATAAATGATAAATGGATAAATGATCGAGGATCTTATGCTACTTATAAACAGGGCGGTTGTATTTATATAATCTTATATGGAGATTATTGGAGGAATGCAAAGTAGCTGCTAGGTCATTGAGTTCCTTCTGGCCAATCCAGGGGGGCTTTCTCAGTAAGCTTAGCCTTATAGTGAAATGAAATGCTACAGCATGATCTGTTTGGAGAACTGGTCTGAGTCATGTGTTAGTGTCCTAGTGATAAAATAGGTTGGGATGCAAAATAGTGAGGAAGTTATTCAGACTGGACAATGCAGAAGCAGAAGAGTTAGAATCAGATTTGTAAAAGTCAGAGAAACTGAAGTCTGTGTGAGCTGGTTGTCTGGGACGTAAAACAGAAGTGAGCGTGCTGCCGCTGCTGTTTAGTCACTGCAGTCGCGTCCGACTCTGTGCGACCCTGTGAACTGCAGCCCGCCAGGCTCCTCTGTCCATGGGATTCTCCAGGCAAGAATACTGGAGTGGGTTGCCATGCCCTCCTCCAGGGGATCTTCCCCACCCAGGGACCGAACCTGAGTCTCCTGCATTGCAGGCAGATTCTTTACCGATGAGCCATGAAATGAATGAATGAAATGAAGCCCAAGAAATGAATGGAGGGTCTGCTAAATGAGAGTCAGGACGCTTGAAAGATTACGTGTCCTTAAGGGAAAGAGGGAAGGACTGATAGAAGCATCAGTTCAGTTCAGTTCAGTTCAGTCGCTCAGTCGTGTCCGACTCTTTGCGACCCCATGAATCGCAGCACGCCAGGCCTCCCTGTCCATCACCTATAGCCAGAGACAAATGGACAGCTCTTAGTGATAATACATATGGAAAACACAGGATTTAGCCACTGATTGAATATACTGAATACTGGCACCAAAATGTCAGTGATCACCTATGAAAATTAAACAGAGACGAGAGAAGCAGACAAAGGAGAAGTATTGGATTGGAAGGAAAAACTTTTGTTTCTGACATGGTGTGTTTGAGGGAGTGATGGAGCATCCATGTGGAGATTTTCTTAGTTGCTGGAAATGTGAGAGTTTGATTATAAAGAGATGTCTGAGTGCTATCAAAACATAACTAGTAATTATCAACGTCTAGTTAGCCCCTTCAGTAGGATTAGTAGGATTATGCTGATAAGGAAGGTAAGAGTTTCTCAGAGAGCCAGTTTTTATTCTGAAAGCTTTTGGTCATAGACTTTACACTTGATCCCGACCAGCTTTATTATGAACACGTCCTGTTGTCTGTGAGGAAAACTGGGTGAGAACATACGTCTGATGAGCAGATTTCCAATACACGATTCAGTACACTGGACCCTCCAGATCCTGGGGTTCCACATCCCCGGATCCAGCCAACTTTGAACCAACAATATTTGGAAAGAAAAAAAAAAAGAAAGTTCCAAAAATCTTCAGCACTCTGACAGCCATTTCCATAATATTTGTATCATATTCACACCAATTTATGTAGCATTTACGTTATACTAGTTGTTGTAAGTAATCTAGAGATGATTTGAAGTATGTATGAGGATGTGGGTAGGTTATATGGGTTATATGCAAATACTAAGCCCTTTGATATAAGTAAGGGACTTGAGCGTCTGTGGGTTTTTTGCTATCCCGGGGGAGAGGCCCTGGAACCAATCCTATGAGGATACAGAGCGATGACTGTATTGTGAACAGGAAGTCATTAACTTGGGTTTGTGTTCGTGAACAGGAACTTTCCATAAGGGTATACGCTGAGAGGGTGAATGAATGAGGTGGCAGCTCACACCAGGGGCAAAGAAGATCTCTCAGGGAAGGGAGGTGATGGTGATAGGAATCCCAGGACTAAGTTGTGCTTCTGGGGGGAAAAGAGAAGGTATTGCTTAAGGAGCCAGTTGATAAAGGGATAATCCAAGAGGTAACCTGTTGAAAGGCAACTGAGAGAGTAACACCAGAGGAAGAAAATGATTGGTTATGATGACAGACAAGGAAGGATTTTGTCCAACTTAGTAAATTTAAGAACTCAGAATTTATTGCAGATGTTTTAAGTTTCTTACACATGTTTCCTTGCTTGTTCTCCACAAGGACTCTAGGAGGTAGGCACTGTTATTTTTTCCTTTCAGAAATTCTGTATTTCAGAGAGTTCTTAGGCCCGGCCTATCCTGTATAACCCCTGCCGCTGCCCCCCACCCCCCCCACACCCGCCAGCCAGTACTACTCAGGAGGCAGGCGTCAGAGGCATTACCTGCTTTGGAGCACTGTAGGTAATTAACTGTTCCTTCTCTCTGCTTTATTTCCCAGGTCACAAGGCACTTAAAGCACTGTTGAGGTCATTGGTGGATCTCCAGGAAGAGTTGCTTTTCCAGTACCCAGACACTAGGTATCTCGTAGATGGTACAAAACCCAAAGCAGAAAGGTAAGGAGGAATGGAACTATGGAATCTCTGTCTTTTCATCTGAATATTTTCCCATTTTTTATAAAGTCAGGTCCTTTCCGGGAGACATCAGATTTCTTAATGTTAGTAAACTATCAATAGAAAGAGCCTCTCACATTCAGTTGGTAGCCAGGATGGCACATAAATTGGGGATTATCTTTCAGATTTTTATGTGTAGTTGTGCCTAACTGTGTTTGTGCATGCGTGCATGCTCAGTCGCTAGGTTGTATCCAACTTTTTTGTGACCCTGTGGACTGTAGCCTGCCAGGCTTCTCTGTCCATGGGATTCTCCAGGCAAGAATACTGGAGTGGGTTGCCATTTCCTCCTCCAGGGGATCTTCCTGACCCAGGGATCAACCTGTGTCTCCTGCATTGCAGGTGGATTCTTCACCACTGAGCCGCCTGAGAAGCCCAATTACCTTTGTAAGCTTCTGCAAAAAACTTGCCTTTGGGGGTTGGGGGCTGCACCTCTCGGCTTGTGGGATCTTAGTTCCTTGACCAGGGATCAAACCCAGAGCCCTGGCAGTGAGAGCACTGAGTCCTAACCACTGGACCACCAGGGAATTCCCCAGACTTGCCTTCTTTTTTACATCTAGTGAAATTATTGGTGAAAGCACATTTTTAGTATGAATGCTTCATTGATGTTTATGAAGCCCTTTGTTGCCTATACATGGAATTGCCAGTTGCAGCCATTGACTTTTTAGTAAGGGAAGAAGCAGTTATTTTGAAGGGTGGAAACATTTTGGAAAATAGCAGAATAAGCCTTTTTTTCCCTTCCTGAAATGATCACATTTGATGAAGGTTCACCCCACTCTTTGACCTCTCCCTCTGGCTGAGCCTGCTGCAAGTGGTACCTGTCTGTTGTTTTCCATTGCGCTTCTCTTCTGCTCCACTCCTTTCCACTGAGTTAGTCTGAAGGGCAGAGGAGAAGCGCTCACATGTAGGAAGCGCTTCCTGTGTGTTGGGGTCGGCAGTACACAGAGTGCAGCTGGTTCTAACTGGGGGCTCTGGTACGTTCTCAGGCGGCTGGGGGCATTGCAGTCTAGCTTGGGTTCTGTGGTCTATCGCCTTGAGTGTTCTTCACGTTCTGTCCCTCTTCATTTGGTTCAACTAATACTATTCAGCTTTCCCGAACAATTGGTTACAGAGAGACATATTTCCCTTATTGATTTGGGGATTAAGGTCATAAAAGTATGATTATGTGTTTAATTTTTAAAGACCCTCCTATAACAGTATAGGCCTGGTTCATGTGCATTTCTAATAATGTTTTTAACAACCTCATTTACTTTTATGGTTTTCTTACCCTTTAAAAATATTTTTGAAACCACCTATTTTTATTTTTATATTTATTTGAAAAAGTACAGAAGTTTTTGTTTGACCGCATGAATGCTCTCTTCCAACAAGAAAAAAGCCATACTCTTTTTAAAATATATATATTTATTTATTTGTTTGGTTGCGTGGGATTTTTAGTTGCCACACATGGTATCTAGTTTCCTGACCAGGTGTCAAACCCAGGCCCCCTGCTTTGGGAGCGCAGAGTCTTAGCCACTGGGCCACCAGGGAATACTCCTGACTGCACGTGGGCCTGGGTTTTACCCAGGTAACATTTATTTACATTGGACTCTTACTGGGTTTTCCAGTGAAGAGGAGATTTCCAGTGACAATGAAGAGCTCATAGAGGAGAAGCAGCAGCCGCAGAGGAGGGGCCCAGCAAAGAGGAAGCTGGAGACGGAGGACTACCCCAGCTTCATGGCGAAGCGCTTTGCCGACTTCACTGTCTACAGGAACCGAACGCTCCAGAAATGGCACGATAAGACCAAGCTGGCTTCCGGAAAACTGGGGAAGGCAAGCGTGTGTGAGTGTGTGTGTGCACGCTCCAGAAATGGCACGATAAGACCAAGCTGGCTTCCGGAAAACTGGGGAAGGCAAGCGTGTGTGTGTGTGTGTGTGTGCGCTCCAGAAATGGCACGATAAGACCAAGCTGGCTTCTGGAAAACTGGGGAAGGCAAGCGTGTGTGTGTGTGTGTGTGTGTGTGTGCGCTCCAGAAATGGCACGATAAGACCAAGCTGGCTTCTGGAAAACTGGGGAAGGCAAGCGTGTGTGTGTGTGTGTGTGTGTGTGTGTGTGTGTGTGTGCGTGCTCCAGAAATGGCACGATAAGACCAAGCTAGCTTCCGGAAAACGGGAAGGCAAGCGTGTGTGTGTGTGTGTGTGCGCTCCAGAAATGGCACGATAAGACCAAGCTGGCTTCCGGAAAACTGGGGAAGGCAAGCGTGTGTGTGTGTGTGTGTGCACGCTCCAGAAATGGCACGATAAGACCAAGCTGGCAAGCGTGTGTGTGTGTGTGTGTGTGTGTGCACGCTCCAGAAATGGCACGATAAGACCAAGCTGGCTTCCGGAAAACTGGGGAAGGCAAGCGTGTGTGTGTGTGTGTGTGTGTGTGTGTGTGTGTGGCAGGTCGTGGCAGCCTGAAGCAGCTGTGAGAAATTGGAGCCACAGCTCCCTTATATGGATGATGCCTTGATGTGGTAGTCATCCGTCATTTCTGTAGAAAAATTTACTGAACTCCTACCACTGAGGTTTATACCGTTCGGGCATGGATTTTCAACTTTTATTAGTGAGGAGTGTTTTAAGTCTAGAAATGGTGGCCTTGTAAGTGTTGGAAAAACAAAATACCTTGAAGAAACGGATTTTACCACAATTAATATTAAAGGAGCAGAAGTTAATCTCTGGGTATAGGAAAGTGATGTGACCTGCTTAAGACTAATATTTAATTTTTTTCTGAGAACAGTCACAGCCATTCACACACTCAGCCTTTAACTGAAAGTCTCTCCTGGAAAGAGGATTGTCTGTTTCTCTGCTGACACAGAAAGATAGAGAAACCAACGTCACTGCCTTCTGCAGAGACTGCACGTTGTCTGACACTGGTTGATATTGTTGCAGGGATTTGGTGCCTTTGAACGCTCAATCTTGACTCAGATCGATCATATTCTGATGGACAAAGAAAGATTACTTCGAAGGACACAGACCAAGCGTTCTGTCTACCGAGTTCTTGGCAAACCTGAGCCAGCAGCCCAGCCTGTCCCGGAGAGTCTGCCAGGGCAGCCGGTAAGGACTCTGATGCATGGTGATTACGGGAGCTGTTCCTAGGAGGCTAATTAACTGGACGATCTGCTCACCTCCTTGTAGGTATTCCTCAGGGTATAAGAAATAGACGAAAGAAAGGGGGGAAAAAAAAAGCACTGCTTTGTTTGAGAAACTGAGATGATGTGGGAGGGGAAAGTTTTTAAAAAAATGAAGCCATTAGGGGCACAGTTCTTGAGGTGCTAGCCTACTGTGTTACCCCTTTGCCTGGCAAAGAAATAAAGCCACTTTTTCTCCTAAACAAAAAATAATAATGAATAAAACTATTATTAATTTGTGTATAGCCTTCTTTTAATTTTGAGTTAGATATGAGTGGTCATGGAAGCATTTGTAATTCAGTTTTTCAAATTCGGTTTTAAAGCTTCTTATTTAGAAGCACTTATACTGAGTTGAGTGTGTACTTTAGGCTTTCCTTTGCATGTTTATATGCTCCAGAAAAGGATCCAGAATTGGAATAGGCAGATTCTTCTGTCTAAAGGAAACTCTTTTATTTATAGTAGAAATATATACTTAATATGTATTTCTTAAGTTCAGAAGAATTTAAAATGAAAAGTAAAATTCCCTTAGTCTGAAAATTCTACTCCTCAGGTTTAACCAATGTTCGTAGTTGTAACAAGCTTTTAGGTATTTTCTACACAGACACAGACACACACGTATATAACACATATGCATTCATAAAAATACGGTTTTTGGAACTTTCCTATTGGCCCAGTGGTTAAGATCCCATGCTCCCAATGCAGTGGGCATGGGTTTGATCCCTGGTTGGGGAACTAAGATCCCACATAGCCTGCACGGCATGGCAAAAAAAAACAAAAAAAGATTGTCTATTCTTTTTTAACTAAATGGGATGGATATATATATGTGTATAAATATATAAATTATATATAAAATCTTACAGCTTTCTAAATGATTCTAGATATTTTTCCAGGCTGTTACATAGAGATCTACCTCATTTTTTTCTAATGGCTAGAGTATTCTATTGTATGGATGTGTACTATAATTTGTTTGAACAGTGGATATTTATGTTTTCTCTAGTTTTAGAAACAGTGCTATAAGAAGCATTCCTGAGCATTTATATATTTTTGTTTTTATGTGAACATGTGGATACACTTCTTAAAGTGGAAATGTTAAGGAGAATATGCACTTTAGATAGATGTAAAATTGCCTCGAAAAGGCTGCTGTGTTTTCCATTACTGAAGATTGCCTGTTTTAGAGGTGAAAAATGATGTTTTTTCATCTCAATTTGCATGTAATAGAATGAGATTAAATATATTTTCATATAACCATTGAGTATCTGTGTTTTTTTTCTGTCAAGTGCGTATTAATGTTTTGCCCATTTTTCAACGGCATTATTTTTGTTCTTTAATTTTAAGAGCTCTTTATATCTTAAGGAAGATAATGCTTTTACTGTTCTACACATTATTTATGATCACTGCATTACTTTGGTAACTTCATTGGGATTCACTCTTTCCTTCTCGTTGATGTAGGAGATCCTTCCTGAGGCCCCTGCCAATGCCCACCTGAAGGACTTGGATGAAGAAATCTTTGATGATGATGACTTTTATCACCAGGTATGATTTTTACACTCTTTTCTTTTGTTATAAATCAGGCTTTAGCATTTAAAGACACCTGATGGAATTCTCTGACCTAAAGGTAGCTATCTTACGTTGGAAGGATAGAGTCAGACAGGGTTTCTGAACATGTACTCAGAGTCGACTTGATGTACTTGATAGTTGTACCATCCAGGTAGACTAAACATCTGGGCTATTCTGAGGAGCTAAAATAATTTCCTCTAATCCTGGGTCTCTTTATCAGTCATGCATCTTAATGAAACGTGCTGTAGGCTGTCCCCTCGCTAGCTCTGGAGAGCCAGGGATGCTGTTCAGTTTCGGTTGAGTCATTTGTCACAGTGATCTTTGTTAACTTTTATGGAAGACTTTGCAAATGCTTGTTGGAGGTGTAGCTGTAATGACAGTCCTATGTAGTATATGAAAGTACGAAGGAAGGAACATAGGAAAATTATACTCTGAAGAAAGTAGAAAAAGTGATTCTGTGTTGAGGATACCTCTGGTTTTGCCCTAAAAAAGAGAGATTTTTAAAAATTAATCTTGCTGTTCACTCTGATGTTCCATAAAATTATTGCTGTGAGTCTTAAAAGTAATGATGAGAGGGTGGAGGCAAGAGGATTGGTGTGTGGCCCCAGGTGTTCCCAGTCAGAGGTCTTGATTCTTTTTTCCTTTTTCTCTGTTATTATGTCCATTTATCAGAAGAGTGGGGAACTCTATTTTGCTCTAGAATGTCTAAGAGGGTACCCGACATGGGATACTAATGCTGTGTGAGTGTGTGAGATCATGGGAGACAATCCAGAATGTTCCAGTCTTCATTAATTGAAGTGTACATTGTTCGATAGAAAGTGCATCATAAATTAAATAGGCCTAATGAAATAAACTGAAATTACTGGCAATCCTTAGTCTGAAGATTTTTTTTTTTTTTGGCCTGGAGGTCTGCTTAAAAAGAAATAGCATTACTTGATTGGCTCTTCATCCCAATTAATAATTTTAACTTCGATAAATTCTGATTTTAGTTATGACTAGTCACATCTTCGCTTTTCCCCTTGCTGGTTAATTGGGGTGCTGGGGTTAATCTAAATTAAAACTTAAACTAATAGAGGTCAGCGAGGCAGCTGAAACACCTGAGTGAAACAAATGGGGCTGCCAGGCACAACTTTATCTTGGCTGTTTCCCAAGAGGGAAGTGGCAGCAAATTGGAGTTGTTTCAGCCTTCTGTAAAGGTGAATGATGGGTGACACTTGTTAATGTACGGCATCTCCGGAAGCATTCCAGATTGCTTTGCTGCCGCACCAACTGCTGCCATCCACGCACAGTCAGTAGGAACTGGACCAGTTGCCAACATCTGGCAGCACAGCAAGGAATGGGTGCAAGGCTTGAAACCCCGCAGATTCTAAATATGGTGCTTAGAAGTGTGCAGGCTTTAATCACTTACCACTCTTTGGCAGCAGGCTACGACAGCTTATCCCAGCCTCGTACATCACAGTCGACATCTGCTGAGCCGCCAGGCAGCTGCACATTCATTTTCTTTTCTTGCCTTTTCTCTTTGCCTCCTATTCCTCTTCTTCCCACTACCCCCCACTTCCCCTCCCCCCACCCCACCCCCCCGCCTCCTTTCCGTTTTCCTCCCCCTCCCCCAATATGCTTCTTGGGAGAGATGATCTGTAAAGATTACCACTTCATTGTGTGCAAGTAATTGTGGTGATGCCAGACCCTTGACAGACACAACGTAGCACCTGTTCTGCTGACCTGGTTAATTTCTTCTGTTGAGTGGGATTTACCAGAGATTGGAGCTGAAGCCAATTCAGTGATAAGGCTAAAGAAAATGGCTGTATGTTTTCTGTCACCTCCCAATTAAATTGGCTTCATAAAGTGCTTTCCTTTATTTGTCAGGGTAGTAAGCCTGAGCTAAGTGTTGCATTCAGAAGTGGTACAATGTATTACAATGGGCCTGTGAGTTTTCATTTGTGTTTTTTGATCGGGTAGGTTGTTTTGGAAGAGCTTGGTGGTGAATATAATAACATTTCGCCCTTTTTTTTTTTTAACCATCCTTGAAGCCAGACTCTGTGGGTCCATGTTTTGTAAGGAAGAGATTATAGCCACATTGAATTTTAATATTTCATTGTAAGGGTTTAAAGGCTTACTTGGTTAAGTCATGTGTCACGAGCCTGTGTAAATGCCCTCACCACTGAGAATGGTGTTCAGGGTCAGAATGCGCAACACATACACACTCACTCGCTTTTGTTTCATAAGGGGCCTTAAATGACTGCAACTTAAAAAATATGCCTATGGTGCTTAATAAATGTACATGCGAGTGTGTATGTGTGTGTTTAAACAAATACATACGGAGTGGGGAGAGGACTGGAGAGGATCAGATACTGTAATGGAACCTTTTTTTGAGCTGAAAAGAACCTCACAGTAATGAGTCCCTGAGACATTAAGTAACTTCCTGAAAGTCACATACTAGTACTTGATTCAAGATTTTTTAGGCCACACCCTGTTCTTCCCATACCTTTGTTTCTTAAATACTTCATTTGTGAGCCACTGGGAGACTTCACTATCGTATTACACTTTTCATTTTGTAAATAACTGAGCTTCATTTTCTTAGAACCAGAAGAAACATTATGTTGTGCTAGAAAGTAATTTTTTTTTTCCTTTGAAGGCAAATGATTTATTGAACTCCTGGTTTCTTAACAATTCTAATGAAAAAAATTAGCCTTCTGGTTGTGTTCCTGGTTTTTTTGGAGTTGTTGAAAACCCAGAGTGTGCCCAGCGGTGGCGATTTTAGGAGGGAAACTGTTCATAGGCTTCAAACGTTGCTGAGTTCTCACTCACTGGTGGGATCAGTTCGCATCTGGCTCAGTTGTTGTTAGATCTCATCCCTAGAGATTATTTCACAAAATACGAAGGTTGCAAATGACCATGAAGGAGGAGCCATGTTTTCAGTGTCTATTGTTCATTTTCATGATCCCATTTGCTACTTTTTTTTTTGACATTAAGTGTTTTTAAGGTGTGTTGTCTATATTGCCACTTAAAGTTGATTTTTGACTCGATAGGCCTGAGTTCTCAAAGAGCGGAGGAAGGACTGATGTTTACTGAGCACTAGTAACGTGCTAGCTCCTGGACTGAGTGGGCTGGTACTTGACTCATGTCTTCATTTCATCCTCCCAAGATCTCCAGGTTGAGCTATGACTGCACTTAGCAATGAGCTATAAAGTGACTGTAAAGTGACTGGGTTTTTTAAAAGCATTAAAAAAAAATTTTTTTTTTAAAAAATTAACTGTTGTCACCCACAGGCTTTCTCTAGTTGCGGTGAGCGGGAGCCGCTCTCTAGTTGTGGTGTGTGGGCTCCTCGCAGTGGCTTCTCCTGGTGGGGAGCACAGGCTCTTGAGTGTGCAGGCTTCAGCTGCGGCGTGTGACCTCTGGAGCGCGGGCTCGGTGGTGGTGGTGCACCGGCAAGTGACTGGGTTTGTTCTTTTCATAGCGGAGACCTCAAACCAGTTTGTTGTCACCTCGTGAGGTATTTTGCTCTGAAAGGACTAATTGAGCTTAGATATTGACAGGTCAATACCTAGATTTCTGAGGGTTCATTAGGATTTTGTATGTTGCATCTAACTCTGTTTAGTTTTGATCTGGTTTGTCCTGTCACTTTGAATTTAACCAAGAGCGTCTAGAGAAAAGCATAATAGGTTCTGTTCTTTTGATGACCACTTTGATGGGTTAAATTTCTCCTTTCATCTGCCATCAGCACATGTCTATAGCCAACCCTGCCACATGCTGGACATTTGTGTCTAAGACATTTGATAATGTCATAAACAAGTAATTACTAATTCGGTGAACTATTAAAAGTCAATAATGTTAAGAAATAGAGAAGAGGCAAGTTTTCTGACAGGGTGGTTTACTTTAATTAAATTGGTGAGTGATTAATATGGACGGCTGATGGGGTGGCTTTAATTGTATGCGTTTAGATTGTAGTGTGAATAAGGGATATATAATGCCATTCCTATGGTTAACAGCCATACAGTGTTCTTGTCGGCATGTGTCTTTCCAGTGGTTCAGCTGATGGCTGAGAATATGCTTTAAAGTTTGATTTGAACCTACTCCTTTTAATTTGTTGCTGGAAAACAGATCCATTCTGTTCAGAGCAGTATTTCATTTTTAGTTTGAGATGTTGCTGCTATTTGAGATGTGGATAGTGTTTCTTAAAAGTTTGAGAAAATTTATTACATGTATATCTTCTTGGTGACTTGAGAGAAGATGCATATATGAAGTGCATAATTTTGAAAATTGAAATTATGGCTGAAGTTAAAGCAGAGAGTTAATCGGTTAGGTTTCTTAAGACCTAATAAAGGAGTTAAACCCCAAACCAATATCAGTGTCTAATTAAACCCCAGTTTTAATAATTACAAGATTATGTTTTGAATCTATGCAAGAATTTTATTTGAGATATATTCTAGTTTCTGTGTTGCCATTGTCTGTCTGTCAGTGTTTAGTCCCAAAGATAGTATCAATATTGGCATTTGATAGCTAGCGTGGGCTTGCTATTATGGAGCCTGCACACACAAAAGCCACATTTTAAATGCAAGGTCGAGAAATTTCATCAAACAGCAGCATCAAGGGAAGGCACACACGACTGGCCCTCATTTCTTTCAGTTCTCTTGCTTTAAAAAAATACCGGAGCATGACTTTGGTTCTACTGCTTCGTGTAGACAAAGGTAAAACCTCAGAATGAAGCCTAAAACAGGCAGGCTCCATTTGATGGAGCCATCTAGGAAAGAAAGAAGAATTAGCCTCAAACCATCGAAGAAACTTTTCAAATGCAGGTAGTCCCGTGGTAGTTTACTAGGCAAATATGTCGCCAAAATTGCCTTTTCTATACTAATACAATGTTCAACCCAATGTCAGCTGGTTAAGTGTCAGTTAGGCACAGTATTCCAGCCATGTTTGAGTAGACCCCAGTGAAGAGTTTGGCACTTTAGAAAGGGGGCACTACCCATTCACCA